AAGGTTGCTAGGATTAAGAGACGCAAGTCTCATGTGGAAAATCTCAAATCATTTATACTGGAAATGGTTTGTGTGTTCGGTAAGAAAAGTTGTATTAAAATGAAAAGATAGAGTTTGTCTTCAAAGACTTTAGCAGGAATGCAACCATTTCTCATTCTTTTTGTGTCTTCTCTGATCATCAGCAGGTCAGGAGTGTGCCAGAGTGTATGTAACAAGGTGTGGAAAAAGATTAAAAAACGTCACTGGGAAACCACCACATCAGTTTCCTATCTCAGCAACCAAGTGTTATAGGTTTTTTTGTGGTAGGTCTTTGCCAGGAACTAGTTATAAGATTATGTACTTGATTTTAATTAGTATAAAGGTCAGAGGGGGAAAAAAACCTTTGATTTCCTTTTGTTTTTAAACTATTAATCCAGTGTTAAATATATGCTGTGATAATTGAGTATGAGTGTTCTAGAATCTTCATACAGAATGATATGACAGCTCAAGTAGAAAAAGTTACTTGTTTTCTCCAGAAACATTCTAGTCACGAAGTTGTTCTGGAAATCCACACTCCCTAGGTCAGTGTTTCTCAAAGGGTGGTTTAGGAACCACCGATATTAGAATTATCTGAAGTGCTTGTTACATATGTAGACTTCTAGGTTCTACCTTAGAACTATGGAATTAGAATAGCTAGGGCCAGTGCCTTGAAGTATGCATTTTAGCTTATTAAGGTTTCTAGACTGAGACCTTATACTACAATTTTCAAAACAGTTTTATTGAGGCGTGAACATAATAATGAACATAATAAACCACATATATTTAAAGTGGACAATTTGGTAAGTTTTGGCACATTTATACACCAGTGAAAGCATCACGGCGGTCAGGCTAATAAACACATCTAGCAGCCCCAAGGATTGCTCATACCCCTTTGCATCCCCTTCCTCCTGCCCTTTCCTCATCTACCTCAGGTGTTCATTAATCTGCTTTCTGTCACTACAGATTAGTTTGCATTTTCTAGAATTCCATAAAGAGAATCACCCAGTATGTACTTTTTTGGTCTGGCCTCTTTCAGCACCACTGTTCTGAGATTCATCTATGTTGCTTTGTGTAAACAATAGTGCTTCTGTTGTTGTTAAGTAGTATTCTACTGTTTGTCCAGATCCCATTCTCTTTAGCCATTTGCCTGTCAATAAACATTTGGTTTGTTTCTGCTTTTGCACTATTTTGAATAAAGCTGCTATGAACATCCGAGTACAAGTCTTTGTGTGGACATGTGTTTTCAGTTCTCTTGAGAGTGTAATAGTCAGACCATGGGGTAGATGTATGTTTAACTCTTTAAAAAATTACCACTGGGCATGGTGGCACGTGCCTGCAGTCCCAGCTACTAGGGAGGCTGAGTGGCAAGATGGCTTGGAACCAGGAGTTCCGGGCTGTGGTGCGCTATGCCAACCAGGTGCCTGGATTAAGTTCGACATCAATATGGTGACCTCCTGGGATCGAGGGACCACCAGGTTGCCTAAAGAGGGCTGAACTGGCCCACATTGGAAATGGAGCAGGTCCAGACTCCCATGTTGATCAGTAGTGGGATCATGACTGTGAATAGCCACTGCACTCCAGCCTGGAAAATATAGCTAGATCCTGTCACAGAAATAAAGAGAGAAAGAGAGCTAGAGAGAGAAGGAAGGGGGAGGGAAGAAATGACACAAATTGCTATTTTCCAAAGTGATTATACCATCTTACATTCCCATAGCAATGTATGAGAGTTCCACTTGCTCCATAACCTCACCAACACTTGGATTTTCAGTCTTTTATTCATTTGGTTACTTATTTTAAAGACAGGGTCTCACTCTGTCACCCAGGCTGGAGTACAATGACATGATCAGGGCTCACCACAGTCTCAACCTCCTGGGCTCAGGAGGTTCTTCTGCCTCAACTTCCCAAGTAGCTGATACTACAGGTGTATGCCGTGATGCCAGGCTAATTTTTAAAGTTTTTTGTAGGGATGGAGTCTCACTGGGTTGCCCAGGCTTGTCTTGAACACCTAGCCTCAAGCAATTTTCTACCTCAGCCTCCCAAAGCACTGGGATTACAGGCATGAGCCACCACACCTGGTGTGTCTGAAATTTTCATACTTTCAATAGGTTTGTAGTGGTATGTCATTAAGGTTTTAATTTGCTTCTCCCTAGTGACTAATGGTTGAGCACCTTTTCATGCGTTTCTTTGCCATCTGTATATCATCTTTGGTGAAGTAGCTGTTCAAATCTTTTGCTGGTAATTTTATTATTGTTGAGTTTTGAGAGTTTTTGTATGTATCCTAGATACATGTTATTTGTTAGATACATTCTTTGCAAATATTTTCTTTCAGTGTGTGGCTTATCTTTTTTCTTGTCTTAAGAGTAACTTTTGAAGAGCAGAAGCCTTTAAGTCTGATAAAATTCAATTTTCAAAATTATATGAATCATGCTTTTGGTGTCCTGCCTAAGAAATATTTATCTAAAGGCCACAAAGACTTTCTTTGTTTTCTTCTGGAAGTTTTATAGTTTAAGTTTTACAATTAGGTCTCGGATTTATTTGGAGGAGTTTTTGTTTCTGCTTTTGTTTCACATATGGTGTGAGGTAGGGATCTAAGTTCAGCCCTTGCATATTGACGTCTGGTTGTTCTATGACCACTTGTTCAAAAGAGTATTCTTTCTTCAATTAGCTATTTATGTAAGTGAATCTATTCCTGGATGTCCTATCCTTTTCCATTGATCTATTTGTCTATCTTGACATCGATACCTCATTATCTTGATTACTAATAAATCTTTATAATAAATCTTAAAATCAGGCAGTTTGAGTCTCCAATTTTGTTCTCCCTTTTGAAAGTTGTTTAGATTATTCTGCATCCTTTACAGTTCCCTATGTATTTTAAAATCCACTTGTCAACTTCTCAAAAAAGCTTATTGGGATTTCACCTGGGGTTGTATAACATCTATAGACCAATTTGGTGAAAATTAATTTCGTAACAATATTGAGCTTAACCAACAATTTAAATTTTAACTGAATCCCCCATTCCCTGACCTGCCACACAGAAAAAGACATGTTTATTATGAGGACATGACACTTCTTCAGTTGACAATTTAGAAATACATTTCTTAAGCCCCCTACAAGGACTGGCGCTGTGCTCTCTAGATTGTGAAAGGAATGCAAAATCCAGATAAGAAGCAACCAGACCCCTACATGTAGTTTAGATAAAAAGAAAAGCCTACTGAGGTGAAAGACGGGCCTAGAGGTACTGTCGCAGCCACTTCCTTTTACAGACACATAAGCAGAGGGTCAGTTGAACACAACTCATCAGCTGCAAAACTGGGTTTTCTGGGCCTGGTGCACCAAGCAGATTCAGATCACTGTGAGTGATGCAAACGAAGACTCTAAGAATTCAGAAAGGGCCGACAGTGGACAGTGTGAGTGAGCAGGAACCAGGGCCTTAGGCTGGACCCTCAGAGGACATGAGACTCCAGGGGCAAAATGCAGACTTGGGGTATCCAGGCAATGGTGAGAGGTTGGTATCCAGGGTTCCAAAAATAGGATTATCAGGAATACCAGTACTTAATGTCTGTTAAGCACTTTAGAAAGCTCTGACATATAAACATGATCACCCCCAGTTCATTCTTACACCACCCTACAAGCTTTCAACCCTTGTAGATCATTGGGCAAAATAACTCTGTACCCTGGGCAAGGAATACAGGTACCTCAGGGACATGGGTGAGAAGGACACTGGGAGCCGATGAGAGATGGAGAGAGAGAGCCTCTGGGAGACTGCCAGGCAGAAGAGAGCATTGTACCCAGAAGGTGTTACGGAGTCAGCCAGGGCTTGGGCAGGGAAGAGAAGCGTGCCACTGATGGGTGGGACACAGCAGCAGAAGTCAGGGAGGGAGGCTGGCACTCCTCTTCATTTGTGGCATGACCACCCATGATTGAGAGGCCCAGGGAAACTGCAGGGAAAGATCAGACTCTCCAGTGAAGGGTGCAGGTAGCTTTGTAGGGCAGTGGTGTGGGTGGGATACAAGGTAAAGCCCCAGTTCTGGCAGAAATCAAGGCCACAGTCCCCTCCTAGCAACCAGGCCACACATACCAGTCACATGAGTAGCAAGAGATGAACCCGAGAACCTTTGAAAATCCCAGAGCTGCCTCAAAGTGAGTATATTCAGTGATTTGGAACCTCACTTGAGAGAGTCAGGGACCAAGGGAGGGAAACAAGATGGAGAGGGGGAGGCAGACCTCCAACATCAGGCTGAGGAACTTGGCTCTGGTGCAGCTGTAGACCACGGGAGCCCTGGGAGGCTGAGCTCACAGCTGGCATCATTCCTATACTCAGGCAGCACCTGAACACAGAGTGTGATTCTTGTCACTGTCCCAGGAACTTGTGGTATTTCCCTCACCAAGCCATACAATTTGGGCTCATTTAGAAAAATTAAGTACTAAATGGGCACATTGTTGATTAATTTAGTATTAATGGAGCTAACTGTAGAAACCTGGATGGCCCCAGAGTCAAAGCTTGCTGAGAACTCAGTAGGATGGTTCAGACAGTTCATTGATTCTTCATGATTGTTTGTTTTTTGAGTTGGAGTCTTCCTGTGTTGCTCAGACTGGAGTGTATGGACATCATCATGGCTCACAGAAGCCTCAACCTCCTGGGCTCAGGTGATTCTTCTACCTCAGCCTCCCAAGTATCTGGGACTGCAGGTGTACACCACCACACCTGGCTAATTTTTTCATTCTTTGTAGAAATGAGGTCTTATTATGTTGCCCAGGCTGGTCTTGAACTCCAGGGAGTTGGGAGAGGATGCCAGGACCACGTGAGCCAGGGACAGTAGCAACCTTTTCTGAATTACTGGGAAAATAAGATCCAGACTTACATACATCCATATATTTTTATAGTATTACCTCTGTATGTATATGTGTGTATAAAAATCAATATGTAAAGTCAATTCAAATTAACTTAAATTTGAGAGTGCCGTTTTCATTTTTAATTTCAGGTCAAGAGAATCTTCAGCTTGAAGCAAGCACTAGGTGAGTACTGATTTCTTTTTTTTTTTAAGAAGTGTCCAGGGCAACCCCCTCGGTTCCCCTCCCACTGTGGGAGTTTTTCTATCCTCTCAATAAATTCTGCTTAAAAAAAAAAAAAAGATATGTCCAATGCTGCAGACAGTTCATTGATTCTTCATGATTTTTTTTTTGAGTTGGAGTCCTCCTGTGTTGCTCAGGCTGGAGCGTACAGACACCATTATGGCTCACTGCAACCCCAACCTCCTGGGCTCAAGTGATTCTTCCACCTCAGCCTCTCAAGTATCTGGACTTGCAGGTGTATACCACCACACCTGGCTAATTTTTTCATTTTTTTTGTAGCAATGAGGTCTTACTATGTTGCCCAGGCTGGTCTTGAACTCTTGGGCTCAAACGATCCTCTTGCCTCAGCTTCCCAAAGTACTGGGATTACAGGTGTGGGCCACCATCCCTATCCAGCACTTAGCTTATTTCAAGGGATTTCCAATGTTGAAAATACCAGTTCCAACCCCACTGCCAGTCTAGGGTATATTTTCTAGTGCTTGCTTGCCGTGGTACCAGTTGAGATCATATCTGCCACTTTGAAATCTCCCTTAACTGATCTTGCCACTGGCTCTGCTTTTCTTGAGCTTTCATATGAGAACCTCCAATTCTACTCTTGTTTCCACCAGGGTGCCCTGCCTCCTCCTTTGCTGAGTAGGCAAATGTACCCTCTGAGCTAACCTTGTTCAGCTTCCCTCTCCACTCAGAGCTCTTCTGGTCATCACTCTTCCTGTCTCCATTCCCTGTCTGAGAGGAAGATGCACTAACACTTCCTTCAGGGTTAAGTCTTCCCTGGTGCTCCTTACTCCTTCTGTTCCTGTCTCTTATAAACCTTCTCCATCTATAATTCTCCTTGTTCAAGGCATTCAGGAGGTACCCAATATATGCTTGTTGAATAAACCCATTGGCTGTGATCCAGTTCCAGTACAGGAGCCCGCTTCATTTTTGTAGGCTCCTGATCCTAATGAAGCCCCCCAGGCCCTAACCCAAAGAGATGATGGAGAAGGGAAATGTTAAGCTCTCTAGAAGCCAACTGAGCTTCTCCCCACAGCCCCTGCATGCCCGCTGTTGTTGAGTGCTCTGTTACAGCATTTAACATGCCAGATTATAATTTTATAGTGTGTTTACAGTTTCTTCCTTCTAGACTGTGAACTCCTCTAGGGCATGGAGACTGTCTTATTCGTTTTAACTTCCCTCAGGCCTCACATACCAGGGCCTGGCACTTGGGTAGGTGCTTAGTAAATGTTTAGTGAATAAACAAATGAGAGAAGTCATTGAATAATCTGATGAGACCGACAAACTACTGTGTAAGCAAAGCTGGGGGCGATGAGGTCAGCCAGGCCCATCTTAGTCTTCTTGGATCTCCAATGCCTAGTGATATCTATTCATTGAACTAGTCTAACCTGAACGAGTTACTATGATAGTTGGCATTTCAGGTCGATAAAGAGGAAGGAGGGAGCTGGAGTGAGCCAAGACAAAAGATTCTTCTGCCTCACCTCTCTCCCTTTAAGATTTGTAGACAGCTGGGCTCGGTGGCTCAGCCTGTAATCCCGCGCCTTTGGGAGGCTGAGGTGAGTGGATTGCCTGAGCCCGCGGGTTCGAGACCCACCCGGGCAGCGAGACCTCATCTCTACAATAAATCAAAAAATCAGCCGGGCGTGGTAGCGCATGCCTGTAATTCCGGCTACTTGGAAGGCTGAGGCGGAAGGATCGCCGGAGCCCAGCAGGTCGAGGCTGCGGTGGCCGGGAGTGGCCACTGCACTCTAGTCTGGGCGACAGAGTGAGATTCCAACTCAAAAAAAAAAAAAAAGATTTGTAGCCAGTTAGGTATAAACTGTATAATCCAGCAAGTGGTACCCTCTGAACATCCCCTTGGTGACTATTACCCACAGAACTGGAGCAGGTCTTGCACTCCAGGAAAACAAGTCCTTGAGATTTAGACCAGAGATAACCTAGGGTGAGCCTGTCCTCTCCTACTGGTTGAGGAGGAATGGTGTCACTCTTTCCAGTGATTCAGTGTCTGTGGTTATTTCTTTACAGCAAAGGCGGTGGAGAGGAATGTGTAACCTGGACTGAAGACACAGAAAGAGCAGTCACTAGCAAGGAAGACCCAGTCTCCAGTGCACGTGGGCTTACAGGTAAGGAGGGTCTCCTGGGAGAGCGGAACACAGAGGCAGAGGGATGATACCAGCTGCTTAGAGGCTGAGGAAGACTTTGTCCAAGTCCCAGTTCTTCCTTAGTTGTAAGAGGAAGAGAAAAGGAAAGCATTTTTACCAATTTCCTGCCATTCGTTTGTGTTGATCTAATGAGGCCAGAATTCAATGAAAGGTGACATTAAGCAATGCGGCAGTCCCCCCTTATCCATGGTTTCACTTTTTGTGGATTCAGTCACTCTGTCAACTGCTGTCTAAATATATTTCATGGAAAATTCCAGAAGTAAACAATTTGTCAATTTTAAATGACATGTCATTCTGAGTAATGTGATGAAATCTCACGCCTTCTGCCTTGCCTGCCTGGGACATGAATCCCCGCTCTGTCCTGCTATCCACACTGTTTACACTCCCGGCCCCTTAGTCACTTGGTCACTTAGTAGACTTCCTGGTGAGCAGATCGACTGTCTCAGTTCAAGTAACCTTTATTTAATTTAATAACAGCTCCAGAGCGCAAGAATAGTGGTGCTGGCAATTCAAGATATGTCAAAGAGAAGCCATAAAACGCTTCCTCTAAGTGAAAAGGTGAAAGTTCTTGACATACGGGAAGAAAAAAATCATATGCTAAAGTTGTTAAGATCTATGGTAAGAACAAATCTATCCATGAAGTTGTGAAGAGAAAAACAGAAATTTGTGCTAGTTTTGCTGTTGCGCCTCAAATGGCAAAAGTCCCAGCCACAGTGTGTGGTAAGTGCTTAGTTAAGATGGAAAAGGCCTTATATTTGTGGGCGGAGGACATGAAGGGGAACACATTCCAACAGACAGCAATGGGAATCAGTAATACCTGCGGTTTCAGGCATCCACTGGGGATTTTGGGAGCTATCCCTCGTAGATAAGAGGACAACTCCTGTACATGTCATTGTAAACTTGTCCAAACCCAAAGAATGTACAACACCAAGAGTGAACCGTGTTGTAAACTATGGACTTTGGATGAATATGATGTATCCGTATAGGTTCATTGGTTATAACAAATGTGCCACTCTGGTGGGAAATGTTGATCACAGGGAGGCTATGTGTGTGGAGAACAGGAGGAATATGGGACATCTTTAGCTGCCTGGTAATTTTTCTGTGAGCCTAAAACTGATCTAAAACAAATTGTCTTCCGAAAATAACCACATGCACGGTATTGTAGTAGAGACTATTGACACCCTACCCAGACAGATCCTCTTTCTAGGCTGGTGCACCCGCTTCTCAGCTGCTGTGAGGTTAGCTGACAATAGCTCACAGTTGTGCCCTTCTGGCAATTGCCCCTAGCTGGCCAGAGTCACCTAGTCAGGAAATGCCTAAGAGGTTATGTCCTCCCCTAAGGGCAGCTTGTGGCCCACTGAGGACTTGCTGATTCAGGGCACACAAGCCAGCCCTTCTGTCTCAAGATGGTGCACCAGCATTTCCTAGGGGATCAGGCTGTTACCAGACTTCAGCCAAACCCACTTCTATGCCTGAGTTCTTCCCTGCCCCAGTTTCTGCCCTCACTGCCATCCAGGTTTCATCTGAAAATCCTTTCTCAATAACACACTCACACATTCTTCTTCTGGGGAACTTGGCCTAAGATGGTTAGCCCAGGAGAGGTCCTAGAATGGATGGGATTCTGGTATTGGGTCACTTGCCTGTTGGATGGCCTTGAGGACCCTATCTCTAGTGGTAGGTGGAGTATTGGGAGTCCTGGTCCCTGGTCTGCTGCAGCAGTTTAGTTGCTAAGACCTTCACCTGCAGTGACCTGGGATCAGAAACAGGTCGACAGAGACATACCAGCTGGTAAATGTCTCCAGCATTTGAGAGACCTGAGGAAAATTTTACCTAACAGGAAGGTGGAACTGGGAGATTGTCACTAAGCACCACTGATGATTGAAGACAGAAAGTGACAAACTCAGATGAATCACCAATAAAAGCACAGTGTGAGAATCACAGGGCCTCCTCACCAACGCTTAGCCCCTTCTCTCCTGTAGCAGAGGCAGACTGAGCTCATGTGAAATGACCGAACTTGAGAGAAGGAAGAATTCTCTGCCTAGGCAAGTCTGCCACCGGGTCATCTGGGGCTCTTTGCCAGTAGATGAGCAAAGTCAGACCCTGACAGGGAAGATGAAGGACCCTAAAACTTGGCATGAGGGTATCTGGATGCATACCCTTGACCTCCTCAGCTGGCAGCAGCAGCCTATTTCCCCTTGTTGTAAGAGATACCTGTCCCTTTCCCCTGAGACTATGCAGAAGCCTCAGATGAGGCCTACAAGACAGTGTTTGCCCTTCCTCAGATTCTTCCCCACCTCCCTTCCTGACCCCTTCCAGAACATTAACTACGATCGAATTACAACATGTCCTGATGGGGAAGAGACATGTGGACCTAGGGGCATTAGCTCCAAACAGGAGAATCTATGAACTGTGCTCTAATGCTCTTCAAAGAAGACCCACTGCAGAGGTACCATGAGCAGGCCAACTGGATGACTCGGCCAGTAGGGGTCAGTCGCCTCCCTCCGTGGCATCCCAGTGCCCGCACCATGGGCTCATCAACGGAGTGGTAGCAGGACCAGACGGAGACTGTGATGGGCCTGCACAGTGGGTTCCCCGTCATCAAGACTGAGCAAGCCACTACCACTGGTGAATGTCCAACATGCAGCAGAGGTCCATGCTGAGCCCCCAGTTTGGTTCTGTTCCTCGAGGAGGCAGGTTGATTTTGTCAGACCCCTTTGGGCTACAAAGTACAGTGTGTGATGAGCCATGTAATATTGCTTTGATCGGGGGACTCACTACGGCAAATGAGGAACAGCTGTGGACGAAGGTCCACAGGTCCTACCACCACATTCAGCCTGATGGATGGTGGGCAGCCTCTGAAGGTGAGGAGAAGCAGCAGTTTGGACAAAACACGGTGGGGATGGAGCGCTGGCCCTCAGGATGCGGAGTATACCTTAAACCAGTGGCTAGTTCATGGTGTGGTGCCCCCAGTGGGCAGAGTGTATGAACTTGGGAGCCAAGAAGTCAAACGAGTTGCGGCCTTGCTCATGACCACTCCAGTGACCCACATGGGAAATGTGTTCTCCCCATCCCTACAGTTCTAGCCTCAGTGGGTCTAGGCGGCTCACTTTCCAAGGGAGACACTTCCACAAGGGGACACAGTAAGGTTCCTACTTAAATACATGTCTCCCACCTGCTGCAGTTGGTCCTTGGCTGTACCTTCAAGTCATCCTCTCCTCCTGCTTATCTTTCTTTCCCATGAATCGTGGGAGTCCCAGACTCTTCACAGGCTATGGTTCTTTTTTTTTTTTTTTTTTAAGAGATGGGGTCTTGCTGTATTGGCCAGACTGTGCAGCGGTGTGATCATAGCCCACTGAACTTCTGGGCTCAAGTGGTCCTCCTACTCCAACTTCCTGAGTAGTTGGGGCTATAGGACGTGTCATCATGCCTGGCTAATCTTTTTAAATTTTTGTAGAGATGGGGTATCTCTATGTTGCCCGTGCTGGTTTCAAACTTCTGCCCCAAGCAATACTCCCGCCTCAGCCTCCCGAGTAACTGGGACTACAGGTGCACACCACCACGCCCAGCTCAGGCTATGGTTATTTCACTCAGCCCTTCACAGTTACAACTGGGCAAGGGAATGTTGAGAGATGCCCCAGTGTATCGCCTGGGTATCAGACATGATCCTCTCTGCCTCTGTTCAGCAGTAGCTCCTGATCAGGGCCCATGTCTTCTTCCAGTATATTAACTGTTTTCTCTGTCTACTGGTCAACTGGCATAAGAACAAAGTGGTAAGATTCCTCATGCCGGTCGGGATCAGGCCTGCGATGGGGAAGGAAGATGGGAATTCTCCTGAGGACCTATGCAGTTTCGGGATAGGACAGTCACAGAACAGGCGGGGATGCTGTTTCTACCAACCTCTCTCTGGCAGCTGATAGTGAAAATAAAGGAGTTAAACTAATACTATTTTACTAGCTTCGATTGGGCTGAAAGTTTTGAATTTCTGAATTTGCTTTTGTCCCTGTTTTGCAAAGCCCTGGACGTGTGAGGAAAGCATAAAATGAGAATAGTGATTCCACGTCAGAGTTGACAGAGCTCAGGGTCTTGGAGGTGGTCTGTGGACTACCTAGTATAGCACATATGATTGCTTCTTTGCTAATGTTTGTGGCCTTTCCTTTTAGGCCTAGTTAATCTAGTTACTTTCATTATTATTATTATTATTATTTTACTGTTATTCAAATTCATTTTGTGTCTTCTAGTATTTTGCTGAAGAAAATACATTTTAGCAAACAGTCCTCTCTGGAGAGATTGTGGGTTATTTTAGATATCTGACCAATTGGTTTTAACTATTTTATATTTCCATTTCTGATTATAAAAAGAATACACATGTAGATGGTGAAAAATTTAGAAAACACAGGACAGTACAAATCGGCCATACCCAGATATGACTGCTATAAATGTCTTCTCTCAGACTTTTTGTCTATAGAAATGCATGAAATTTTTTTTTTTTGAGGAGTCTCACTCTGTCTGCCAGGCTGGAGTGCAGTGGCACGCTCACAGCCACTGCAGCCTCGACCAGCTGGGCTCCTGCGATCCTTCTGCCTCAACCTTCCAAGTAGCTGGAACCACAGGCGCGTGCCATCACATCCGGCTAATTTTTTTACTTACTGTAGATTCGAGGTCTCGCCAAGTTGCCCAAGCTGGTCTCGAACCCCTGGATTCAGGCAATTCGCTCACCTCTGCCTCCCTAAGTGCTGGGATTACATGCATGAGCCACCGTGCCCAGTGAATTTTTTAAAAACTGGAGCCATACTAAAATTTGGGTGGCTTTACGTTTTAATCTCATTGAACATTTCCAGTAAATCTCTCATGAAACGGGCCAGGCTGAACTGAACCCAACTAGACATATTGGCTTGTTCTTCACGCCTACCACCCGCTTGTGGGCTTATTCCAACCCAGAACATTTGAGGGCATCCGGTTGC